AAAGGGCGAGCATGTTGGTGTGATGGGGATTCGAACCCGCGACCCACAGATTGCGAGTCGAGCACCCCAACCACCTGGCCATGCCGGGCCATTTAACATTATAGTATAATCACCTTAAAGAGCATTAAATAACTGTTTCTTTTTCACACTACATTTTACTGCAAACAATGTAATGGAATAAAACAACTGTCTCACTTCACACCGTTTTAAAGACAAATTGTTAATAAGCAGACAACCATAGTTTGTATATAAAATGACACTTTTACGATTATTTTATGTCACAGAGGACAAGTGGTGAAGTTCAAATTATGCAGAATAGGGCTCTGTACGTTTTCTTACAACATTACGCAGACATAGGTTCTGTAACTGAAAAGGAAAGATGAAGTACGCTATGATTCACACAACTGCTTTTCACAATTTATTGATAAAAAATTAAGTTACAGTTATACTTTTATTAAAGACTTAAGGGTAAAGTTCCTTGCAATTTATAAAATGGATTCTCAGAAAATGAATAAAATATTCGTTACCATTGTAGGTTACAGAAAGTGAAAGGCAATGTTCATTATCATTTATAAAATTGATTTTCATAAAATGATAACAATATAAGTGACCATTGAAAATTACTGAAACTGAAGAGTAAAATCCCTTGCAGTTCTCAAAATTGATTTAATCAACTTAATGATATAAAAATATAAGTAACGGTTGTAGATGATTGAAATTGCAGAGTAAAATTCACTGTTTTTGTTTTATAATAAAACTAGTAAAGTAAAAACAAAAGAAACAAAAAAGGTGAAAATCACACAAGGTGCTATCACCCAGAGTGTAGTTTCACATCAGACATTAGTCTTTCCGAATAGTATCTTTCGCCTTTGCCAGGTATTTTTGCTTTTTTCCGCAAGCTCCGCCTGGTGTTAGCGAAAGTCTCAAGTCACCTCGGATAGATCGTTTTTGTTCCTTTACCTTCTTCGTGTTGCCACATAGCCAACGATTCCATCCATATTTCTACATGTGCTTAGAAGTGGTGCTTAACACTATTTTTGAAGGGTATGGTGGGTCATAACCGAAACGCTAGGTGCTGCTGTCATTCAGCTTAAGAAGCTGATAGCTTTTAGAAGGCCTGCAGATCAATAAAGAAGTTGAAAATGGTAAAAATGGAAGTAGAAGCTGATTTCCTAGATTTTAATTCCAGGCAAGATTATTTTTCTGTTGGAGGGGATGACTTGAATGTTGTGATCCAACCAGATGTTGGTGCACAGTCACAGTGGTGATTGTGAGTGACACACAAACTTCCAACGGGACAATTATCGAAGGTACTCTCCTTTGGACATGATGGAGTAGTGTCGGAGGTGTTGGCTGTGTAGTGGGCAGGCTACATCTCAGAATGAAAGCAGAAACAGATGGTAATGTTTCCTTGCACGTGAGTCTTCCAGCACTGTCCGATTGTTATGTTAAAAAAGCCATGTTTCAATGGATAAGGAGAGAGAAATTACAAGTATAGGTACCTACACAAGTATGTGAATTCAGTTAAGCACCATTCAACTGTTGTCCTCTAGTTTCTGACAATAAGATTCTAGCAGCATAAATATCTTACTTTCCCATGATTTCGTATGTAATCGTCTAAATAGAATACAGCTCGAAGCATTTATAATACAACGCTGTGTGAATGTTGCTTTCTTCCTCAGACTTTACTGTTGAAGTTCACTCTAGCATGTGTTTTAACTGTAACTTGCCCAAAATAGAAGTATTCAGAAAAGGTATTTGTTTATGTGATATTTCAATTTGAAAAACTGGACGTATCACATCAAAACAAAACTTTGGGTACTTCATCAAGTTTCATTTTGAAATGACACTTAGATTACTTTCACTTTTTATAGATTATATCACCCGATTATGAATATTTAATATTGATTCAACTAAACACATTCTTCACTAACGTTACTGAGAACATTACGTAACCCCGTGTTTCTCTCCACTGCAGCATAATCCAAGGTTACTTTTATCTCTCCAGGGAAAAATTCATAACCTTGCAAGTATTTCTTTCCAAAACTGCAAATATTATACCACCTATCCAACTCAAAATATTGAGTGCATTGTAACTTCCTAAGGCGCGACACAAATCACTAGCCAGGATTTCATTATGCTACGTAAATGACCAATATATGCCTAAATGGGATTACGAACCCACAGTCCATTGCCTTTGTTCTGAATGTTAATGTAAATACAACTGAGGTAAATATCAGTAACCAGACAGTTAGTAGCAGACTTTATAGGGTTTGTTTAAAGTCAAGAAGACCTGTTACATAGCAGCAAACAATTCGTTTGGACTTCTGCTGAGATTACTAAAGATGCAAGCAACACCAATGAATGACGTTTCATTCTCTTCCGAGGATTGGTAGACGTGGTATATTAGGTACACTAATTTCCTACAAGGAAGAATATTATCCATTTTATTAGAAGTTTGGCAGAAAAAAGATTATAGAATTAAATTGAATAGAAGGAAAATAGGACACAAGTCTTGCAGTTTACAAATATGATATATTTAATGATGACACATAAAAGAAAAACATGACTGAAGCAGACGCATGCACTAACACCTAAGATAGTTGCACTTCTCTCTCTACTGGAGAATGAGATCTTGACGAGAAGAAAATCCGAATAAGTTAGTTGGTTGTTTTTTCAGCGAAAAGCAGCACCATGGACTCTCTGTCTATCACAGGAAATCTAACCCCGGGTTTTAGCATTGTAAATCCAAAAACTTACCTCTGACCCACCTGAATAAGACATGGATATTAACTTCTGTATACACATTCAAATATGGTCGTATCCATGCTTTAAACCACAGTCTCACAAAAATGTGTGGATAAAAATATAAAAATAGATTTTCAGTCGAAAAATAGGGAGAAAATAGAACACATGGTTACAGGATATCATGATCGTTATTATAAGAAGATAATAAAAATGTCATAAATCTTAACTGATTCCATCATATTTTTAAATTTAGAATATGATTTATACATAAATTTTTGCATACTTAAAATAAAAACATAGCGAAATAGGCAATATATTTGAATTAGTTCCACTTATTACTGCTGGGATTTCTTATGTGTTTCAGAAAATAATAGTGTTCCTCAGTTCTTGGTTAGTTCTCTATGCTGAGTGTTATGACACGCTAAAGCATAAAATCACTCAATAATATGTATTACATAACCTCATCGTAAGGGCACAATAAGTAAACAAGTCGGTAATTTGAAGGTTAAGGTGATATATTCATCATTGAGGAACCCAAATCCTTATGTGAAGATAAAATACATTTGGCTTGACAATAACGTAATATTGTGGTTTGATCAAAACAATCCTTAAAATTAGATGCATTTTCAATTTTACTAGAACGATTGTTTGTTTGTTTGTTTTGAATTTCGCGCAAAGCTACACGAGTGTAAGACTAGAGGGAAGGCAGCTAGTCATCACCATCCACCGCCAACTCTTGACCAACTCTTTTACCAACGAATAGTGGGATTCACCGTCACATTATAACGCCCCCACGGCTGAAAGGGCGAGCACGTTTGGTGTGACGGGGATTCGAACCCGCGACCCACAGATTGCGAGTCGAGCTCCCTAACCACCTGGCAGTGCCGGGCCCTACAAAACGAAGTAATACATTTTAGTCTTACAGGAATAATAATTTTTTAATGAGCAATATATATACGGAACACTTAGTTTTATAAGAAAAACTGAAGTCTTGAATTCAGCAATACATTTCAATATATTTAACAAACATAAACTTTTAGTCATAATACTTCAACCATGCCAAATTGTATATTTTCGATTTTTTATGCAAAGCTACAGAAGGGTTGTGCATAGCTGTCCCCAATTTTTGACTGATAAACTAAAGGGT